CATCCTGGAGGGAGGGGCGGGGGGGGGGGGGGGAAGGGGAGCTGGCCAGACTCTGCCCTGCAGCCTGCAGCCCTCCCGCAAGCCAGGTTCCCCTGGCTTCTTGCCCTGCTTTGGGGTCAAGGCCAGCATGTGGGGGGCGGGGGAGAGGGCAGCCGGGACCCCGGTTTGGTTTGGGGTCGACTCATCCTGAGCCCTCCATCACAGGACCTGATGGAGCAGGGGATGGGCAGAGTGGAAACGGCCCCCCAGCCTCCACGCCAGTGCCCGTGGGCTGCTCCCGCCTCACCCCCAGCAGCCCCTGGCCCATCAGGGTTTCCCCTTCTCCAAGGGCCTCTGGCCCAGGCACTGCTGGAGGCAATTCTCTGGCTCTCAAAGGGCAGGCAGGTGAACCCCTCCCGTCCCCTTCCCACAGCACAAACCCACTCCCGAGACCACTCCCAAGCCCTGCGATTCCACCCGCTCCTAGCCACCCCTGCCACCATCATCTTCCCGTTTGCTTCTGTGTTTAACCTAAGAGCCATGTGGGAAGCCCTCGCCGCCCTGCTCCAGGGATGCTCGTGGTTGCAGCAACCCCCGGGAGCTCAGGCCCGGCGAGCAGAAGGTCTCAGCAAAGTGCCTGGGGGAGGTGGGGGTGTCCCGGTGGCGCCTCGACGTATTGCACAGCGCGTAGGGCACGGGTCCACGGCGGGACAGCTCGTTCTCTCCCCCCGGCGTTGGCTCTTTCCATTGGAAACAAAACAAAACAAAAGTAAAAAGGGAAGAGATGGGGTGCTGATGCCCGGAGGGGGAGCGCGGCGCAGGGGCCGGAGCCGCGCCCGCCGGGCCTAGGAGCAACCGCAGCGGTCCACCACCATGCCGGGGATCTTGCCGTAGATGATCTGCTGCTTGTCGTTGAAGTAGAGCATGTTGATGGGGGACATCTTGGTGGGGGTGCAGCAGGGGCCGGCCGAACCGCGGGGGTTGGCCTGCTGCACCAGGTGGGTGTGCGGGTACTTCTGCATGAACATGTACTCGCACTGCCCCGAGCAGTAGTTGGCCTTGTAGCGCTTGGGGGCGATGATCCAGTCCCAGCCGAAGGCCTCGAAGTCGACAGTGAGTGGGTAGCGGCAGCAGCGGGACTCGGTCGAGTGCTCATCGCAGTCCAGGCCCAGGTTGCGCCGTGAGCGCTTGTTGTTCTCCAGCACGCGCAGCTCCATGAAGGGGTGCTGGGGGGCAGAGAGACAGAGCTGAGCCCTGGCTCCTCTGCCACCCGGCTGCCCCCCTCCCTGCCCCCTTGTCCCAGGCAGGAGGGGCTGCTCAGGCATCCTCTGTCCATGTTCCTTCCCACCCAGCCCATCATAAAAGTGGGGGGACTGGTGGCCACCAGGCAGAGCTGAGGGTTTAGCCAGGTTCACACCGGGATGGGGACGTCCCAAAGGAGAGAGGCCCGGCCTTGGCATCAGCGCTGCCTGGACTTGAAGTGCGGGAGGCTGCCAGGGGCAAACCCCTGCTCAGACCTAGTCACTCTCCCTTGCAGCCTCTGCTCTCTGCTGCCACGGGGGACAGGGAACCAGGCAACATGGACCTGGGATCTGACCCAGGACGTGGTAGCTCTGATATCTCATCTGCTCCCAGCTGCCACGATCCACATCCTGCGTCTCCCACTCCATCCTCATTCAACTGCATGGTCAGAGATGATGACCAACCCACTCTCACCAGCCTGGGCTGGCCCAGCACTGCACCCTCTTCCCCTAAGGATGCCCAGGGGCACCTCTCAATACGTGACGGGGGTGGAGAGCCTGAGCTTGCACCCCTGAGAGAGAGCCCAGGCCAGGAAGCCACGAGGCAGCTGGGCTGGATCTGGTGGAGGGACCCAGGCAGAGAGCTCCCACCCCCCAGGCCCCTCCACAAAGGGTGGGCAGCGCCGTCCCCAGTGTTTACCTACCAGTCCCTCCGCGCCGGGGCCGAGGGAGGTGACGGCCAGGTCATTGCCACTGGGGTCGAAGGCGTTGATCTCGATGCCCCAGTTGTTCTGCGGCTGCTTGAACCAGTTCTGCAGCACGTGCTTGAAGTCGATGCTCTGCCAGTGGCCGGCGCGGGAGTTAAGGTCGATCTTGAGGGAGCGGATGCGGATGTGGCGGCTGCCCTCCTCTGTGACGGGCTTGAGGCGCAGGATCTGCAGGTACACGGTGGAGGTGTGCTGCACGGGCCGGAGGTACACCCACAGCTGCGCCTTCACCACCTTCGTGAACATGATCTTGGGGCTGAAGTTGAAGTAGCAGCAGTGCGGGTTCCCCTCGATCTGCACCACTGGGTCGGCTGCAGGAGGGAGAGCATGGGTCAGCGGAGCCACCGAGCCACCCACAGACCCCCTCCCCCCCGGGCTGGCTGTAGGGCATGGGCCCAATCCTGCCCGGTCTGGAAACACCCCATGCCTCCCTTCAGAGAGCATCGGGGTCTGGCCCGTCACGGGCAGCTTGCAAAGCTGAAGCCGGGCCAGGGTCAGAGAGTGAGAGCAGGACGAAGGCCAACTCCTCCTCGATCGTTAGGAGGTGAAGGTCAGGGCAGAGGTCGCTGGGAAGGTCACTCGCTGCCCCCAGATTTGCAAGAAGGTCTCGAAGCTGAGCTCCAGCCCCCGTGTCACGAGTGACCCCGTTGATATGAGGGGGCAGGCCGTGGGGAGGGCAGGGGCAAGGCTGTCATGGGGGCAGGGTGTTGAAGGACCCAGGGAAGGGACTCAGGGGCACCTGCCAAGCTGGGGGTCCCCAGGTGCCCACTGGCGTTGGCAGAGAGATTTCAGCCACGAGCGCATGCAGGCCAGGCTGGGTCTGTTGGCCTGGTGACCGCGGGAGCCGAACCCTCAGACGCTTCGGCCAGGGCGTCTGGCTCCCCGGGAGGTGGCACAGAGTCAGCGTCTCCTCCTCCCCCACCTGCCCAAGCCAAGCGCCCGCCCGCGGCTCCGACAGTGTGCCGGCAGCCAAGGGCGAGCGGGCGTCGTTCCTGGAGATTAGCAGAGCCCAGGGGGAGGTAGGACGGTGCCAGGAACATGCTGGCGTCTGCCAAGGGAAACATGGATCCAGGCCGAGCCGGCCTGGCCTTGGGCTGGGGGGCGGCAGGGTCTGGAGCACCAAGGAGCTCAGCTGGTGACACTGCAGCAAAGCCGGGCACAGAGCCCCAGGACCCCTGTGCCCACTGCCACACGGGGGTGGCACCATGGCAGAGGGGCACATGTGTTTCCCCAGGCCAGGCTGCATTGCAGCTGGGGAGCTGAGACTCCAGGGCTCTGCTCCCAGCTGCGGCAACCCGTCTTCTCCGTGCCTAAAATAAGGGGCTGAGCCAGGGCTGGAGGAGACGGGGCAGCCACGGAGCAGGTGGAGGGAAGAGAAGGGTTGATTCCTTCCCCCAAGCACCCCCCTGCGGGGCCAGGCACGGGCACCAGCGGAGGGGAGGTCCTGGCTTGTCCCTGCTGCCCGCAGCCCTCCCCCCACGCCCTGCTCTCGCTCCTGGTCCCTCCCTTCTTGGAAACATCTGTGTCAAATTGAGCTGGGAATTTCCCCCCCAGCCCGCCCCACTGTCCCCCCCATGCACCGGTCAGGTTTAATAGCACCCAGCTGCAGCGCGGGGCCATTTGCTGCGCACTGAGGCCTCCCCTCGCGGATGAGGGTCACGACACCAGCCCGGCGCAGGCCGAGGAATGCCACCCCCTCGCGTGAGCCGCAGCCGCCGGCCCAGCAAACCCCTCCTGGCAATTTGCTGCGCACAAGCCCCCTATTAAAGCCGCGCTCCCCCAGGAGCAGCTCATAAAGCATTTTCCTCCCTCTCTGCCCCCCTTCCCCTTCCCCGATGGCTCTTAAAGCCACAGCCTCTCCCTGTCCATCCGGGCAGCCTTGACTGGTGCTCGGCTTTGGTCTCTCCCTGCCTGGGAAAAGAGTCACCTGAACTGGGTAATGCCAGCTTGAGAGCCCAGCCTGCTACACCCAGTGCCCAGGACCTTCTTTGTCCCATGTGGGGACATGCCCACGGGAGGACAGAGGTCACCCTCCTTCTCCACAGCTCTCCCAGCCCCAGCGCATCTCAGGGCCTGGGCCCAGCTGCAGGCAGACTCAGACCTGCTCTCCCCCTTCCAAGGCTGGAGGGCTGCTGGGAAGGGGAGCAGGGAGAGGCTGTGGCAGGGAGGTGGAGAGGACTGGCACCTTTTGGGTCCTGGGGGGGCAGAGGTTCTCCTTTAGGGCAGGGAGAGGGGTTCTTGGTGCCTGGGGCCAGACAGGGCTCCCCCCAATGTGTGCGGGGCAGTCCCAGCTCTGTCCCCAGGCCGGAAGGCACAGGCAGGATCGATGTCTTCCAGCCCCTGGGTGGTGGGGGACAGAGCCAGCCCCGCTCCCCCAGCTGCGCTCAGCCACACTGACCACCACGTGCAGCAGGCGCCCCTGGCATGCTCACGCCGCCCCTGGCACGCTGGCTGGCCGCCCTGCCAAGATGCTATTCCTGTCGCCCTGGCAACCAGGGGATAAAGGTTACCGGGGCATTGGTTGCAGCTGAGTATCCGCGGCACGCGGGGAGGGGGCAGGGAGCCCCCACGCAGCTGCTCTTTGTTCCCAACTTTGACTCTTCCAGGGACGGGACTAGCCCGGTGCGGCGCCAGGGGGGCTGCACGTGGCCCCGATCCAGCCTGGCCCAGCCCCCAGTGGCTGTGTGAACTCCTCACACGTGTGGGCCTCCAATGGTGTCCAGCATCCCCTGGGCCCTGGTGGGACCGAGGCATCCTGCTCCCGGGAACGACACTGCCCCTGAGGCTACAGGCTGGATCCGGGAACCAGGGTGAGCCAGGGACATGGCCCACTCCTCCCGTGACCTTGAAGGAATGGCTCCAGCCCCTACGGGGGAGAGGGGCACAAGCTGGACCCAGAGGACCTGGCACAAGGGGCTCCCCCCAGCCTTGCTGGTGCCCTCCACTCCTGTCCCATGGTCCCTGCTTGCCCATCCCTGCAGTCCCCCGATGCCCGGCCGGTGCATCCCAGCCCTGCTAGCCTCCCTGGATGACCCCTTCTTGGAAAGTGCCGCAACCCGCTGTGCTGTTGGTTCCCCCAGCCCCCCAGCAGCGCTGGTCCCAAACAGCGGGTACCGGGGTGGCAGCTGCTGGGTTGGCACCCACCTCCCAAGTCCCCCTTCATTAGCTTCCCCTCTCCCCCTACCCAGAGGTCAGCAGGGGTCACGGGTAGCCCATAAATGGTTTTAGGACCCAATTAACCTTCCCTGGTTTCTTGTGCCGTTAAAAAAAGTGGGGGGGATGAAACCCAGGGGAGCAGGGCGGGGGCGGGAACCCGAGAGCTTTATGACCCGGCCCCTATAAAACCTGCCCTTCCTTCTGTTCAGGAACCATAAAACTGCACACACGCAATTGCCAAGAGGAGGTGAAGAGGGGAGGAAAAATCATAACGATAACAGGGGCGCGGGGCAGGGATGGCAGTGCCAGGCTTTGGGGTGCCCGGCCCCGGTGTCATCCATCCAAGCCAGGCCTGGCATCTCCTGCCCCGTCCAGGTGTGGGACCAGGGCGGGGTGACAGGGGTGCACTCCCTGGCATTGGGGTCGGGGCCCCTGTGTGGTGAGGGGGGCTGGCGGCAGGCCGGAGCGAGGAGCGACACCCCAGCGTGTCGCCGATTTTATGGCTAATAAAGTTTCAAAGCTGCCGGAGTTGCTCCGTGCCTGAGAAGGGAATTTGTCAAGGAGCCGCTGGGGAGAAAGCGCTCACCGCGTCACTCCTCGCACGTCCCTTCCTTTCTGCTCGCCTTCACACGCTCCTGCCTGGCCCCGATCCTGGCCACCACCCCAGCTCCCTTCCACATGCTCCTGCTGGGCCAGGGTCACGGGGCTTTGGGCAGACAGAGGTCAGTGGGCTTCCCATCACCGGGCCCTTGACTCAGAGTCCACCGGAGGCACCGGAGCCCACCGAGCCCTGCCGTCCATGGCTGGGGCCAGGGCAGGGCTGGAAGCCAGGACGCCTGGGTTCTGGTCCCCGCTCCGGGAGCCAAGTAGGGCTTCACCCAGCTGGGGAAACCGAGGCACCAGGGAACAGGGCCTGTGCTGGACCCCTCTGCCCCATGGGGAGCAAACAGGCTGTAACCTGGGAGTCTGTGCACCTGGCCTGATTTCCCAGCCACGAGCGGTGACCTTGGCCTGGACCAGCTCAGCCTGGACCCACCATCCCAGCTTACTGGGCTGGTGGGGGGTGGGGGGTCAGCCCCCAGCACCCCAGGCAGCCCCTCCATAGAGCCTCCAGCGCCACTGCAGCTCCAGTGCCATTGGCTCCGTTGCCCCATCTCCCCTGACGTGCCCCCTCCCCTCTCTGCTGTCACCCCTGGGGCACACAGGCCTCAGGGCTGCCCTGCATCTGCTGAAAGTCACCTGAGCTGCCCAGTGCCTGCAGCCCCCAGACCATGGCTCCCTTCTTGGCAGCTCCTTTCCAGAGCTGTCCTGCCCCTCACCGCCGACATGGGCAGGCTGCAACAGGTGGGGAGACCCTCCCCTGGCAGGGGAATTGGGCAGCTCCTTCCAGCCACGTTCCCTCCCTGCAGCCAACCCAGCCACTTTGCTTCCCACTCTCCCCCGTCTCCCCTGCACTCCCTGCCAGGAGCCCTGCCATGGCCTGCACAACCCCCAGGCCCAGCTGCGGATAGGACAGGACCAGCTGCTTCGACGGCACCTCTGAAAGCCTCAGTGACCTGGGACTGAGCTGCAGGCGGGTTTGGAAGCATCACACCCACCCCGGGAACAGATCCCAGCTCCCAGCACCTCCAGGAAGCCCGGGCAGCTGCTAGTCCCTTCCCTGGAGGTTTCCAGGGGGCTGGGCTGTTGCCTGAGCCCCCCAGCCCTGGGGGGGCAGTGGCTCTGGAGAGGGTTGGGGTGACCTGGACTCAGCTTGAATGCCACGGCCCTGTGGGGGGGGCGGGGAAGCACCGGCATGTCAGGTCACTCAGGGACCAAGGAAGAAGCTGTGGAGGGTCGCAGGCTGTGAGACACCCACAAGCCGGGCCGGGGAGAGCTGCGCTGGGTCCCTGCTCCCTGGCACTGAGCAAAGCTGCTTGTCCTGGATTTGCTGGGAAGAGAGCGGAGCCAGCAGCTTTCCACTGCTACAGGAGGCAGCCCCTGCGGGAGGACACCACATCTCCCAGCCCCTGCCTTGTGTCCTCCAGGGCTCAGCTGCCTGCCATGACCAGGTTCAGGCCTGCCCCAGCCCCTTGGGACCCCCAGGTCCCTCCTGCCCTAGCCCCTCTCACCCCAGGCAGGGGCTCCTGCCCACCACAGCTGATCCTCTGCTGCCAGCCAGCTCTGCCCCTGGCCCTAGTCCTGACCCCACCGGGAGCCCCTGAACTTCACCTTCTGGGTGCCGGTGCCAGGGACCAGGACAAGCGGCTGGTGCCCGCTCAGCCTCGTGCCTTGGCAGAGCGGTGCCCGCGGCTCCGGGGGCGGGGCG